TTATCTATATTAAAAAACAAAAAAAAAATGATTGTAAAAGATCTAAGTTATGAATTATGATTCGAGTGACCATGAAATCTTTAATAAATACAAACAAACAAAATGTAGAAAAAAAACAATAAAAAATATATTTAAACAAAAAGTCCAAAAAAAGAGAAGAAATTATTCAAATAAAAAGTCGAAAGAAATATTAATAAATGTATTTGAAAAACAATGTCAAAATTTAGTAAAAATTATACGAGCAAAATATCAAAAAATATAAGCGAAAAATATATAAAAAAACATTAAATAACATATTCGAACAAAACGTCAAAAATCTAAATCATAATAATAAAAATAAATTGATAAAAATAATAATAAATAATAGATGACGTTACATAAGTGGTACTTATGGATGGAATAAAGAATATAAAATGTGTCATTTCATAAATGATTTAACTGAAAAAATTAACACAATTAGCCAAAAAAATTGTGTTTACAAGATTTTGAAACTATAGGGACCATCTACAGGGGCGTATACAGATGAAGAGAACTACCTTATTATTATATACCTTTTTTAACTGAAAAAAATCCTAGGACCTACCTTTTTTAAAAATTATAATGGAGGTATTTATATAAAAAAAAAAGAGAACTACCTTATTATTATCTATATATTAAAGTTGTGCATAAAGATAAACAATAAAGTGTCTAGGGGGTTAGCAGAAATGGCTTTCTGTTTATGGCTTTCGTTGCAATTACGGCTCCATGTGTATTTTATGGAATTATGTATATACTTTACACACGTGTCTATCGTCATTGCATTTGTGTCACTGTTCCACAGGGTTCCGCCTTTTACTTCCCAATCCTTCCACCCTCTTCCTTTTATCTCCCAGCGTTTCTTTATCTCGATCCTTCCAGTGATTGTTTCTCTTTGGAAGTAATTGAGTACCACCATCACCACTGTCTGCTTCAGTTCGTGTCCACAAACTCTTAGGGTTGCTTTTCACCGTCGCTCCTCTAAACATCTCTCTGCCCGTCACCCGTTGACGCTTCCTCGCAATTTGGATGTACTACATAAAGTTTTTTTTTTTCTGAATATTTAGGGTTTTTGTCTGGCTTACCCGGTACGATCGTCACCAACATCAAGTATCGATTTTTTGTTGACTGAAAATCCACCGTTTATGCTTGAGTCAGTTGAGACATCTGAGGCTACCGGTGACGAATCACCTCGCCACCGTCGGCGATGCAAGATCTGAGGCTTCTCTCGGAATTATCAAAGATTCAAAATAAGGTAAGCATGATTTCATTGCATTACAACACTATTACTGAATGAAAACACCATTTCCATCACTCACTTGCGTATCATTCGCTTTCTAAGATTTAATCTCTACCCCTTTAACAATTGTTGTATTTGAAGGCTTTCTGTTTGGTATGCTTAGACCCTCCCACCTTCTACTTTCTATTTTAGTTCAAACCTTTATGTTTCTTCTCATTGTCCTGGTATGGGGTTTCCACCATTCACATGATACAAACTTCAAATTGTTGTGTTGTGATACATGTGACATCCCCATTTTCACGGCCAGAAAAGACCGATTTTGTTTATGCTTTATAAAAACCAGAGTGTCTCTTTTAATAAAAACGTTGCGGAATTTGTTCCCAGAAAAACATGATAATTTCATTATCAAAGCATTCCGAAGAAATGTATTTTTATTCATTTTAAAACATTTAGGATGTCATCGTCAATACAAAAACATAAGCATAAACATAACTTACATTCATTTACACTGGTGATCTATATCTCCTTAATCTCTCAGTGTAATGTAACTTCGCATCGTCACCTGTGATACAAGTAAATTGAGTGGGTCAGGTTGGGAAACCTGGTGAGTACACAGGGTTTTCAACCCACAATAATATAATTATTATGTTTAATCATCAAACAATTAACCCAATTACTCATCCTCATTATCTTCTTTATTCCTAAGTACCTTCCCTAAGGATTTATCCTAAGGATCGTCTCATACATCATATTTACCTCTCATCTCCTTACATCGCAGTTTCTTATATGTTTGTTAATAAGGACTCTTCCTAAGGATCATCGCCTACATCGCATAGACAATATTGATTCAAAGATTACTCACTTAATACGTGCCCAACAAGGGTTAGGGCATCATCGCATGAATACGTAGTTACAACATCGCCTGAACTCGTAATTCATAGTAAAGGGTTAGAGTATCATCGCATGAATACGTAGTTATATTGCATGAACTCGTAATTCATCACCTACAGATTATGGGCTTGCTGGTGTTTCCACGCGGTTGTCTAGAATAGTCCATGGTCGCCATCTATACTCTAGTAGATAACTACATCGCCACATTGCCGGTTAAGGTTATGGTATCTCCTTTCATCCTACATCATTTATTTACCTAATTATCATCACTTTTCTATCATTACATATCTCCCATCATTTTATTTGTAGATATAAAATAAATATACTGTTTAAATCTTTTAAAACATGTATAAAATCGTTCATCCATCATAGACAACAAGTATTCAAATAATATGCACACATAGCACATAATTTATATAATATACTTCATATCTATGTGTAAGATGAAAGTAACCATGCACTCACTTGAAAATGTGGTGATTCCGAACTCAGACAGCACTTCGCTTCTTAAAAATAATTTCCTTCGACGAAACCTAGTATTATTACCACTAGAGTTTAGTATATTATTCGTCGAGACTAATTAATAGTCTAGCTATTATTACTATTATATAAGCGTTAAACAATACTTATATAGCTCATAATAATAATCCAATTACTTATTATAAGTTCCTAATAATGTTACTATAATTAAATAAAAGCTATATTAAAAATCGCATAGGCGTAGCTCACATACAACGGGTTTTATAGAAAATCGGGCTTTTCTGGGAGCAGTATTCCGGAGTCGAAAATCTCTTCTTCTCGGAGCCTTTGAGCACTCTGGGGCTTCCACCTCGTGTTAGGGAGGTTCCCTAGGCTTTTCGGGGGGTTTCGGGGCTAGAGAGAGGAGAGGTTCTAGAGAGAGAGAGAGAGAGAGAGTAAAGAGAAGAAAGAATGGGAAAGGTGTGAAGAAAATGAGAGTGGGAGAGGTTCTACTTATAGGCTGAAATATGGCTGAACTTGGTGCCACATGTCACCATCTGGTGGTAAGACTTGGGGAGAAAGAAATGGCCAAGATTGTGCCACGTCACCCATTTTTGCACAACACACTTCCGACTTCTAAAATCCGTAATTTTCACATACAAGCTCCGTTTTTTACGTTCTTTATATCCATTCATAGGTAAAATTAAGATCTACAACTTTCATTTTGACTTCGTCGGCTAATTCTTGACTGATATTAAATTCAACAGTACGAGAAGATTAGACTGTTAAATGACCGCGAAAAATTCGTAACTCCTTCATACAAACTCCGTTTTCATCTGTCTTTTTACCCTTGAGTTCCTATTAAGGAGATATTCAACTCTCATTTAGGTCACATAATCCAAAAACCGCTCGAACTAAAATTCGAGTTTCCGGTCGTGCACTGCTAAGCCAAATCTTAGAAAAATCATAACTTCCTCATACGAAGTCATATTTGAGCATTCTTTTTATGGACACTCTCAGGTTTACATATTCTATGACTTTCATTTAGATCACTAAGGCTAAAAGTCTCTCTATCATAAATTCACTATTTACGTCTCCCCGGTGCCGTGCCGGTTCCGTCGCGAAACTTCGACGAGTCATAACTTCTTCGTTATAACTCGGATTTCGGCGGTCTTTATATGTACAGAACCCTTGAGATATATTCTACAACTTGGTTAATATTATTTATTCTAAATAATATTTTGTCTAAAAGTCGTTTTGGATCCCTATTATATCAAAATTGACTAGCCCGGATCTATGGGCGTTACAATACACGACAAACTCAAAACTGGAAACTGATTTTGAGCCATTGTTATATACCGAATTTGAATCTGGTCTGGAGTCATGTTTGTAGAAGGTACACCTTCAATTGTGAATTTGTCACCGTGTTTTGCATTGAAATATGGTTACAAGAATCAATTCTCTTGAGTTTCAGTTAAGTGTAGACAAACAATAGCAGATTCATCTGTCGTGGAGACTGCAGATTAAATTAAATTAAATGGATTTTCTTTAAATTAGAGATTTGGGTCTCTGAATGACACATCGATTTCTTTAAGTCATCAATTTCTTTATATGTTTGGAAAATGAGGTTTTTTTTGTATTTTTTATGCTTATACTACTACATATTACATCCAACATACAGTCTAATAATGGTTTGGCAGTTTGACCCAATCAGTTCTTCCTTGAAGGTTTGCGTGCATATCCATACACTTTCTTTTTTGTTTGGACTTTGGACTATGATTTTTGTTACTTTACTTCTTAATTTACCGAAATGGAAAATGAAAACCAAGTTGTATTTTTTTAATCCTTTGTAGCTTACAAAGTCAAAAGGGGATATTATTCAATCGCTACTGCAGATATCAGAAAGCTTACAACTTTTTACAGTACATGTTATAGTCTCTACTACAAACATATTACATTTGTAAAGTGTTCATATATTTCTTTTTTATATATATTTATGTTATTTAATTTTGAGCAGATTTAGAAACCTCATTTTCAGGCTGTGTTAATTGACTTCTTTTTTTGTTGGAGTGAAAGGATGGGTTAGTTGCAGGTAAGGCTAGCCCGCTATTTCAATCTTTTATTATTTCCTTGAATTTTATAATATTAAGTTAAACTAACCTTTCTTGGTAATTACATTTAACTTCATATTTTTATGTTTCTACTGGAGATGAAAAGGGTGTTATCATAAACTTCGTATTTTGCTTTGAAGGTTAGCTCTATTTCTACAACCATTTTTTAAACTATCTATTTGTTTTTTATACCCTTTAATGGCAATACTAATAGTTATAGATATTGGAGTTGGGGTCTTTCAGTCGTTTTAAATGACAAATGGACTGACTATCATGCTGAACAGATGGATGCAATTCAAAAACATATAAATGCCTTGAGGTAACTATCTTTTGCTTCATTTAATATACATTTAAAATGTTATCTGATTAATTATTAATTATTTCCATTTTGTAGTGATGGTGAAACATTTATCTCAATTGATGATTTACACATAAACCTTTGGAACTTTGAAATCAACGGTCAGAGTTTTAATATTGTTGGCATGAAGCCTGCAAACATGGACGACTTAACGGGTAATAGTATTTTTATTTATTTTTCTGATTTTTTTTACTGACTTTTCTTTCTTACTAATTACTCCATATGAAACTATAGGAATCAATAACCTAAGTTGAGCCTGAAACAACAAACTGTGAGGCGAAGAAAAAATTAGTGAAAAGTTAGCAAACCTCAAACGATGTGATTGTCGATCAAGCACATCATACATACTTTTAAAGCTATCATTTTCTTTTCTTAAATCTCATTCATTTGAAACCCTTTTTTTATTCTTCCTCAAACCACATTCATTTGAAACCCCCTTTTTTAATTAATGCAATTCAAAAGTTTTCTTAATTATGATTTAACACTCAAAAGTTTTATAAGTTATATTATGTTTAATTAGCATTTAGTGAAAAGTTTACTATAAAAAAGGACAATATTTTGGGAAGACATGCATACAAATCATATACAAATTTCAAAATAAAAACAAACTTAAAGGTTTTGTGTTGGGTTGGGTCTTATGACTACTTTTTGAGATATGCTATTATACTAGAGATTTTAATTTGTAAGTTTGTTATACTAATTCGTTTTTATATTTTCTTTGTTTTTGGATTATTGTAATACAGTCGTTGTATATTGTGGTTTAATCGTTAATATATTGATCATATGTTATATAGGGTGATGTCGAAAATATTTAATTAAATATTTTAAATATGTTTTTTTTTTGTAATTGTATCGTTTCAAAAAGATAATTAATTAAAACCCATACATATGTTATACTTTCCATCTCTCTCTCTCTCTCTCTCTCTATATATATATATATATATATATATATATATATATATATATATATATATATATATATATATATATATATATATAGCGGTTAAAACACTTCAACCAAAATTCATTTAAAATCTAATATTTCAAATGGTTTTTAATAATGATTGTAAAAATTTCAACATGTGTTACATAATTTATTGATTAATAAAAATAATAATGTTTTGAAACTCCTAACTCTTAAACTTATATTATTTAATTTGTTAGTTAACTAAAATATTTTTCCTACATAAATATAACATTTTTATATTTGGTTACTCATATTTGTTTATGTAATTAGAAAATAAGGTGTACATAGAATGACTACTTCAATTTCACATAGGAATCGATACCACTAGAGTGGTATGTTGTCTTTAACCGGTGGTAGGAGATCCACATACCCTTTTTAATTATTTATATTAATGTTTGGTAATATCTATTTTATATTTCTATTAACCTTAATTTTTTAGGTACAAATTCAGGAAGAGGATTCTCGGCGCACCAACATAAAGTCAAATGTACACCTTGCAAATTATGTAATTAAAAATTAAATATCATATTTACTAATCGATTTATTTTAAAACTCTTGATGACATTTATGTATAATGATATATATATTGTATGACTTCATTCTTAATTTCAATGTTTAATATTTGAAAGTTCATATATGAAACCTTGGATGTTTTGGTATAATATAAATAGTGTAATACAAAGTTTATTAGTTCAATATTGTTTATTAATAGCTCATTCAAAACAACTTATTTCTTATTTTATCCAAAAAATATTATCGAACATAAGAAAAGTAGATTATATTAATGTTATAAAAAAATTTAAAATATATATTGGATATTATAAAATTAAAAGTAAAGTTTATAAGGTATGAACTATATTAGATAGTATCAAAATATAAGTTGATGAATTTTTATGTTATTTGATAATTCGGTTAATGTCCAAAACATGACTAAAAACGTAAATTTCAACATATTTCTATTTTTTCCCACAATTATTTTAACCACTTAGATGCATTCTTGCGCAACGTGCGAGGTTACGCCTAGTATAACATAACTGTTAACTTGATATAAAAAATTCCATTCCATTCCTATTAAAAAAATCTACTCTTTTTCATTCCATCCAACCAAACAGGTGAAACCCTATGGAATCAGTTGTGAGTACTTTCAAGATGCACCTTTCTGTAATTTCTTTTTTCTTTTTGCTTATTTTTAACATTTATGCAGTGGCGACCGATCTCCCCTTTGCGAATCAAATAGTGGTAGGGTCAAAGATACTTATCCTGATAATATACTTGCCCCAGTTTTGAAGGTAAATCGTTTCAACTTGTCTTTTATTGTTCATTTGAAAAATCTTGTACAACTTTTACATTGTTTTGTTGTAATTTCTCAGGCTTTGATAGAAAAAACAAATATTAATCCAGCTCAGGTTGGAGACATTGTTGTTGGATCAGTGTTGGCGCCAAGCTCCGAAAGAGCAACTGAATGCAGGATGGTTTCTTTTTATGTCGGCTTTCCTGGCGTGGGAAGAATCTGTTAACCCAAAAGTATAACATTTTTACCCTCTTTGTTAATAATAATAATGATAAAAAAAAGTTTCCATTTTGGACTGTTTTGAACATCTCTTGTGCTTTATTGGCATAAGATGAAAACCATGGCACAAGGCCAAGATTGTCCTCTTCCAATGGGAATCACATCAGAAAATGTCGCCCAACGCTTCAAAGTAAGAAGACAAGAACAAGATCAGGCTGCAGTGAGTTAAATTAATTTATTATGTTTTTTTCTGTTTAATAAAGTTTTATTTTAATTTATTTATTTATTTGATAATGAATAGGTCGAGTCACGATCTCTGTTGATGATTGGATGCGCCCAGGGGTAAGTTTAGCAGATCTTGCAAAATTGAAACCTGTTTTTAAGAAAGATGGGTCTACCACTGCTGAAACTTTCAACCAAGTTAGTGATGGTGCTCGAGTTGTTCTGTTAATCAAGAGAAACGTTGTTGTGCAAAAGGGATTGCCAATCCTTGGTGTATTTAGGTATGTGGGACCTGTTTGTTACAAAACAAAATAGGTTGTACTGTGATTGGCAATCTCTTGCCGTATTGTTAACGAAGAGAAGCCTTGTTGTCCAAAAAAAAAGTTAAACATTGAACTAAAGTTAAGTAATAAATAGAAGTAATTTATTACTTGAGCCAGTTAATATCAATTGAAAATCTTAGACTCTTAGGTATATAAAAACTCACCATTTATGTAAAGATTAATTTAAGCTCGGTCCATTTTCCTTTATCATCAATTCAGAATCATCCTTGAGCCACTTCACTCGCTCTGGCAATTATAGGTACAATCAAAGATGTTGGTCTACAATTGGAAGACTTTTTCATCTTTTTTTCATTAAAAGCTGTGAGTGGAGAAATAATTGCTATATATGTATTTTGCTTATTCTGGTAAAGCCATTTGCTTCACAATATTTATATTGCCAAAAGAAGCTTAAAGTTGACCAACAAAAGATCAATGTGAATGGAGGCGTTATGGTCATTGGACATCCTTTGAGTGCAATAGGTAACCACAACAAATACACTTACTCTTTATGTCATTGAAGTAATTATAATCCCAAAAAAAGAGTTAATGGTGTGTGATGAGATGCAAATAATTACTATTGTAGGAGCATGATGTGTTGCGACTCTGTTGCATGAAATGAAGAAGCGTGTAACTTTGCAGGGAACTCCAAAAATAGAGCCTAATACTGATCTGCAACATGTCGTTGAGGTTATCATTTTTTCATTCATGTTAGAAGAACTTTTTTCTTTATTTATGATCTAATGGTGTTTTCAAATGCTTTTGTTTTTTGAAGATTAAAACTCTTTTATTAAAAATCTTAAATTTGTTTAACTTAATAATGAGAAAGTACTATAGAGTAGTAAAATAAACCGTTATAGTTCAAAGGGTATAAGCAGCCATTGTTGCTGCTATGTGGATGTATTTTTTCGTTCTTTTTTAAAAAAAATTATATATATTCCTATTATTATGTATTCTACTTTTTTTAATTAATATGAATCCTTGTAACGAGATGCAACTATTTACATACAAGGCTGGTTTACAGTTTGTCTTCATGATGTTTTGGTTACCGCACTGAATGTGTTTACCTGCCCCAAGTCGGCTGTAATTACCACCCCTTAATCATTCCATTATGTCCCTTCAGCTCAATTATTTTTATCCTCTAAATTTACCATATATATACATGTTACAAAATAAAATATCCATTAAAACACTAATATTCCTTCATACTACATACCGAAAACCAAAGAGCTAAAACCCTGGTCGTAACCGAAATGGTCCCTTGATTATAGGTTATATTGCATTTTGAGTAGAAGATGTCCCCTTTTAGAAAGACAAGGGCTGAAACTTTCTTTCAGCTTAATTCCAAAAAATGGCCACTTCACTATTAAAGATGTCACCTTTTAGAAAGACAATGTGAAGAAAAACACATATACATATTTTCTTTCAGCTTAATTCTTTGACTAGATTTTTTTTTTTTTTTTGCAACTTGCAGATATTATGATACACCACAATATTGTAGCAACATTCACTTCAAATGAGAATAATATTGCTTCTACTTGATACATTTAGTTTGTCTTTGTTTAGTTTTTTTTTTTTTTTTTTTTAACTTTTCTTATTATATTAGTTGAAAAACAAAAAAAATATATTATGATCAGAATAAAGCAAAGTGCAAGATTTGTTTTTTGTTTTCTTGTTTTCTTGTTTTTTTTTTGTTTTTTTTTTTGTTTTTTTTTGTTAAAGCAAACATATATTTTGTAGATAGACTTTCACTTGCTATAATTGAATAAAATTTCCAAAGTACAATGATGCAATAGGAAGTAATGGAAGCATGTTGTTATTTATTGTATTAACACATTTTTTTTCCCACTTGTAGGTTGAAGGTTTTTTTTGGATCAATGTAAACATCCAGGAAGAACATTTAATGGTATGGTCCGTTTAAAGTATGTTGTTCTTTTGATCTAAGAAAATGTTCTCCTTTTGAACATATTGTACTTTAACAATTCAACAACATACTTTACAGAGGAATACCGTACAATTGGAGCCATACTACAACAGATTTAACTATTATGTATTTGTAAATGAGCGAATTATAGACAATAGCAACATACTTTACTGGTCGTAACTGAACCCCGCGGAGCGGGGTTTCCCAACTAGTTATTTTTAAAGGAACTACCTAATAAGTTTTTTAAGAAAGGAATATCATTTTTTTAAGGAAGTTAATGAACCCATATTTTTTATACTTAATAACCATTTAGAAGAAACCGAATGTTTAAATATAGCACAATCCATCTAAAATAATTAAAAAAAAAAAAGAATTAGAAACATCATTCAATGACTCTCGTTCCATGCGGCTTCAAGCCTTAAATCGTTGAGCCTGCCAACTTCCATTCGACAATCAATGTCTGACCAGGCCATTGCTCAGTCGCCCTTTGTTGTTGTTCATCCCCTCCATCGACCATAATCAATCCACAACTTTAAAATCTTAGATTTCTTGTATACGTAAAAAAAATGAGTGATTAATTTTTAAGTGATAGTTTACTATTGTATATTGAAAAAATGTTTTAAAAAATATCAATAACGACAAAATTTTAAATATGTTTCAAGATATAAGACCTCATATGGTTCATTTGTAAGAACTTTATTAGAACTATTGAAGTAATGTTTAAATATTTTAAGACGTACAATCTGATCCGATTTCGACCCGACCCCCCGCCACCACCACCACAATAACTTTTTACTTTTTAATATTTTTTTCAACTCATTTACATTAAGAACCATGTAGTTTTTTGTTCTAAATTCGCCACTGACCATCTATAGACAAACATTGTCAAAAAGACAAGAATTGGTCAATTGTGTCGACAACATGGACCATTTATGTAATTTTGTTTTCTTATAATATAATATGGTATATGATTTGTGGGAAGAACAGAGTGTGACCGTGTAACACATTTTGATGGGGGCCACTAAATATATAAATACAAAATGCAATTGACAGAAAGGAAATTGGTTGCCGCATAAGATGTGTTGAATAACAGAGCAGCCTTCCTCTCTTCCATATATAACGCATTCATACTTACCACATCTCTCTCCACCGTTTATTCTTTCTTTTTCTCTCTAAAAAAAAAATTCACTAAGAACCACTCTGATCAGCAGATCCACGGAGATCATATTCTGACATTTTGTCTCAGTTGCATAAACATCAGCATGAAGAAATCAGGATTCTTTGCAGCTTCCATGGCTGCCGCTTCTGCTACTACCGCCATATCTGGCTCCAGTTCCAAAAATCAAACTTCTCACGAGGTAAGTAAATCCAAAATTCGTCATATCATCGAATAAATCTCACGTTTCTGTTATTTAGCTCGTTAGTACTTCGATTTGCGAAGTGGATGATTGATAGAAGTTTCTGTTTTCTATTCATGTTCAGGATCATCAAGGATCGAGCAAACACAGTGAAGATTCTTCCGAGAAATCGAATTGTTGCGTGGAGAAATTCGCTCCGAGGTTTGATGGATTGAGGTTTATCGAAACTCTGGTAACTGCTCACCGATAATAAACGTATGAGATCTTCCATTTTTTTTTTTTTTTCATGTTCTTGCGTGATTTAAACGCTGTGAAGCTTATCGCCATGAGGCCCAAGGCTATTTTGGTATTATTATTATTGTATTATTAACATAACAGATTAATTAAAAGTTAAATATCAATTTATTATTATGGTTCATAAATTCTGATGTAGAATGTGCATCTGCAATTTCTTGTGGCTTTCGTTGTTAATTTCATTAAAGTAATCTGTTCACATGTCTACGTCTAGTTTTAGAAAATAGAAATCGTCTAACACAACACAACCAATAATTATGCCAGCAAAGCACGCAAACTGTTCAATTTTTGTTGTACCTCACAAACTTACAGTTGTACTTTCGATAAGTCACGGGCGAGTTTTGCGTGATTATTGAGATACACTTTTTTTTTTGGTTATTTCAAAAGACATTGGATGAAAATCAAACGCTTGTCTAATCAATAATCAATTAATCAGCAATTCATATTTTTGAAAAAATTGTGGTCTATCTTCTTTAATATTTTTTGAAAAAATGCAAAAATATTATATATATTTCTCAATATACCCACAATTTTGCATTATTTACTGCCAAATGTGACTATTCAATAATGTGTTTTATAAAATCATAAATAAATATAACATTTTAAAATATAAATTATTGTGTACGAAAAAACTATTATATACCAATTTTATTTTTTTAAATAACTATAAACAATATTACACTGAATTGTGTATGAAAAAAAAAACTATTGTATACCAATTAATGCTTCACGGCCTAGGCTTATTTGACATTGCTTCATTTTATATAGTATTTTGAGGTAAACATTGAGTAAAGAACTCAGCCTATTAATTTTTAAATTAAAAAACGGGATAATGACTTAAAAATGTAATATGTATTTTTTGATTTTTATAAATTTGGTCACTGAGTTTTTTTCGTCTACATTTACCCCTTTAATTTGTTAAACTGTACACATTCAGTAGTAATGACCGGTAACTCCAGGTTAGTCGGTAAAAATGACTTAATAGAGTAATATATTTTTCACTTTGCACACATTTAATCATTAATATTTTTATATACATTTAGTCATTAATATTTTTTTGGTTGCAGAATAAGTAATTTTTGGTTTTGTACTTATTCAATACTTATGAACGATTTCTTTTGGTTTTTCTCATTACATCTTACACGGAACAATCATTAATAAGGTGTTTGAGCTTTTAATGCTTATGTCCATCGCGATATCGAGTACATGGTTGCTTAGATCATGTGTTCTGAATGTCATAACTTCTTCATACTATCTCAGATTTTAACGATCTTTATATTCCTACGTTTGTATTTTAGTTTAGTACAATTTTTGTTTATATTACTCTAGTTAAAAAGTAATATATTTTTACTCACGATCTTTATATCCATACGTTTTTATGAATGCCTATATGGATGTTTTTTTTAATATAATCGTAAGTAAGAATATATTACATTTTAACGATAATAATATTATTTTATTAATCATAAAATAATAATAATAAAATAAAGTATGACTTAATTAAAAAATGAAAAAATTATTTCATTAAATATTGCATAAACAAAAATGAACTATAGTGTAATTTTCCGTAAAAATAAATTATGTTTAAGATATAAGATCTAACTAAATTGATATATTATATTTATTTGTGAATGGTTTATTTAACTGCATAACTTATAGCAAATTTTATTAATGAAAGAAATATTATTTTCTTATTTTACTAGGTTTAAACCCATAGATATTACGGTGATAAAAAAAACTATTCATAGTTATAAATCGTTAGGTTACATTGTTGTTCAAAATTATTTGGTTACCAATAAAACACAATAGTTTGTGTTTGATATGCATAAGTTTGATTAGAAACTAACTTTCTTTATGAATTTAAGAGTATATTTCGGAAAGAGTTTTAATGCTTATGTCCATCGCGATATCGAGATTTTAACGATCTTTATATTCCTACGTTTGTATTTTAGTTTAGTACAATTTTTGTTTATATTACTCTAGTTAAAAAGTAATATATTTTTACTCACGATCTTTATATCCATACGTTTTTATGAATGCTTATATGGATGTTTTTTTTAATATAATCGTAAGTAAGAATATATTACATTTTAACGATAATAATATTATTTTATTAATCATAAAATAATAATAATAAAATAAAGTATGACTTAATTAAAAAATGAAAAAATTATTTCATTAAATATTGCATAAACAAAAATGAACTATAGTGTAATTTTCCGTAAAAATAAATTATGTTTAAGATATAAGATCTAACTAAATTGGTATATTATATTTATTTGTGAATGGTTTATTTAATTGCATAACTTATAGCAAATTTTATTAATGAAAGAAATATTATTTTCTTATTTTACTAGGTTTAAACCCATAGATATTACGGTGATAAAAAAAACTATTCATAGTTATAAATCGTTAGGTTACATTGTTGTTCAAAATTATTTGGTTACCAATAAAACACAATAGTTTGTGTTTGATATGCATAAGTTTGATTAGAAACTAACTTTCTTTATGAATTTAAGAGTATATTTCGGAAAGAGTTTTAAGTGATTTTAAAAACTTTTATCTTTTTAGGAAAAAATTGATTTTTTTTATTTTTTATTTTTTATAGATACAATTCTAAACACTTAAAAACTATAACTTTATGCTTTTAATCACCAGCTAAAGGTTAAATTTGTCAAACAATAAATAAATAATTATATATATATATATATATATATATATATATATATATATATATGAAAAAAATGAATATATCCTTAGGGGTATATAAGCTTAGGTACTCAAACTCACTATATTACATTGTTTTTTTTTTTATCATATATATATGCATTGTAATTGTCTAGTCTTCTTCTAATTTAGCTTCTAACATTATTTAATTCCAAAAAATTTATAAATTTTATATTTATATTCCTCTTATATAATTTTCATTCTTAACTATAATATATATAGCCTAGCAGGTGTTCGGCATAAAGATGTGATGTGAGAGGAAGATAATAATAAAATTTCAAAAATTTTGAAAGTAAATCAAGTTAAGAGTTGAAGTTTAAGAATATTATAATGAATATATATAAAATAAAACGACATAGTATGATGAATTCTATGCACCATATGAGAATATTACTTGATTTACAAGTTCTGCCGGCAGTAAGTTTATTTCTTAAAGATGCTTTTTGGTTCAATAATATATTTTATATACTTTAATATGTTTTGTATATGTTTAAGCATGATCAATATATTCTTCGAATATTCGTTTGAATATAAGCTACATAAAATTCATCCTTAATTATAAATCTAATTATTTATTGCCTTCAAGTTATAACCTAATGTTTAGCCTAGTTGGTAAAGCTTAGAACTTTATTTCATGATATTTTAGGTTTGAATTTTATTGTTGATATTAATTATAAGTAGGACATATTCAGAGGTGGAAAATCAAAGTTTGTTCGATCAATGATTTGCATACATAGATTGATCGATAAAAATTAATAGGTTAGATATCATGATAATAAAATGTATAGTAAATCAGAATATATTAAAATATCAATATACTAGTTTTAGTTTTAGTTATAAAGCAAAATTTTATCTTATTAAAAATATATAAGTGTTTATTGCACAATAAATCGATTCAAGTATGCTTTGTTTTTTTAACCATAATATATGTATATTTCTATTCGCCGTTTCCAAAAACATAATAATAAATAATAAATTTTATTCTATTTTCGAAAAAAACGTGTGTAATGCAATGTACGTGGGAGTCTATATAACACTCATTTCTGCTTTTACGGTCAATTTTTTCTTTAATAATCCGCTGGCGACTTTGTTTTTTATTTATTGCGTATTTTCCACGAGGAGGAGGAGCTAATATTCATTCAATTATAAGGGACGGGGGCCTACACATTACGCACTCTTCCACCATCACCGTATATATCTTTATATCTTTATCTTTTTAGATATAACAAAAAATAATTATTATTTCAGGATGCAAAACATTACAAAATAATAATAATAATAATAATAATAATAATAATAATAATAATAATAATAATAACACTAAAATACAATAGATAAAGTGTAATATGAGATGGCATCAAATATATGGAAACATGCTCGTAACATGAACTATTATGGTGATATGAAGTTTGGACTAAAGAACCTGAAAGCGAGTGATAGACACCCTTGGTCATAATGCTAGTAACTTGCTCGTTAGTAGAAAATAGAAATATAACGACGGAAAAGGCAAAATTATGTATTCAATATGTTGGGGTCATCTTTTAACTTTTAAATATGGGATTTTTTAATATATGTTAAGTGTATATAAAAAGTATTAATTATGAGAAGTATTACTATAATTAAATGTGATAAACATTAATTATAAATAATATTTTTTATAAATAATATATTTTACATTTAATTATGGTAATATTATACATATTTAATTTTTATCATATTTAATTATGATAATATTTGTTATAATTAATACTTCAATTAATGTTTCTTATATCTACCCTTAAGATACATATTACAAAATCCCTTTAAATATTCTCTAATATCATTGAAAGGTTAGAAAAAATAGCCTTTATCGTTATTTATTATTATTATTATTATTATTATTATTATTTATATATATATATATATATATATATATATATATATATATATATATATATATATATATATATGGCTAGGTTATTTTGTTTCTTACATTTATTGTGTGCTACAATGTATCAATAGAAATTTAGTAAATTAAATAATTATTTAATTAAATAAATGTATATATTAAATTATTTCCATAATTATATGTATATTAAATGATATCCATAATTATAATTTTTTTTTATGGAAACTAATTAAATATGTTATTAATGTCATCAATAACATTATTTCAGAATGAATTCACATCTATGTTTTTATATATGAGTTCATATTTGTTTCAGGGTTCACTCACTTGAAATACAATAAAGTTTCATGGAATATAAAGAACGAGAGTGTATTATACTAAAATACACTCTCATTCTGCTGAAATACACTCATTCTTCTAGATATGAATTTATTCTGAAAGAATATTATTGTTGACATTAATAACGAATTTAATTCGTTTCCATAAAAATGAGTTATAAGTATGGATAACATTTAATATACATATAATTAATACTAAATTACTATTAGTGCATTCTAGCACACAATAAATGTGAAAAACATTTGAACCTACATCTCTTTCTCTCTCTCTCTCTCTCTCTCTCTCTCTCTCTTTATTTTTTACATATTTTAAAAAAATTAATAGACCGCACATATTTGTATCTTCTCGGATGATCCCTACTATTTATTTTTTAATTAATTTATTTTTTTAACTCGGATGGTCCCTACTGTTTAATTTTGTTACGAGCTTGGTCTATGTCTTACCTAAAAAGACTATTGTATCTTATTTATTTTGTTTTACTGTCTTATGATTTGAAACTTGTTTATATTTGTTATTCTTGTATTACAACCTTTTCTTGATTTTGGAATGGAAGAAGGAATGAAGGTTGGTTTGGTTCACGAAAGAGAAGCATTTCACATTGACTTTAGAACTGTATATGGAGTAGTATTTATTATCTTGGGTTTTTTGGCACTGCTGTCTACACACCATAAGGATATCATGTAAACAGGTAAATATTTTTTTACTTATCTCCATTTTTATTTCATATTATCATTAGGATTAGTATTTATTAGAGGATTGGGGCTAAATAGTGTCTGTTTTATTTGACATGTACTTAGTTGCATTAATTATTCACGTTTAGTGTAAATTAGTTACCATTATGTCATGTTTTTTTTTTCTATAAAACTGTGAAATAAAGCTCACTTAAAAAAATAGTTAAGTGAATGAAATATATACTCGGGTGATATTCATTTTAACATCATCTGGAAAGGATCCAAGTATAACCTCTCATAGATTTGCATCTGATCAGATCATGTTTAAAGGCCAACATATATTTTCCTTTTTGAAAATTAGAGAAGCTGGGGTCTATGTATGAACTATGAAGCTTCATTGATTTAAATTTAGTCATGTGATGTTTCTCTGTTCATTTTTAGAATCCCACATCTTGTATCTTTAGTTTCTACGTTTTAGGGCTCATCAAGAAGAGAAGATGCACAAATATTTTACCACAACCTCAAGAATAATGTGACAATTCATCCAGCTCAATATGCTATCAGTTGGCGTCTGAAGTTAACTTTATGAAAATGACCATTTTGTCTCTGTTGTTGTTGCCTTCGTCTCTTTCATTTCCATTTTCAAGGAGCATAACTAAACCCTAAATCTTTAAAAATGGAATCTTTTTGAATGTAACATTGTGTTTATATTCATACATTTTTTAAATAAATTAATATAAACAAAATTTTCATCTAACAGTTTATAAATGACGCACTGAACATTTAATTCGGTTACGATACTAAATGCTGGTACTAATTTGAAAGCATTGATGGGATCTTCTGATATTATTTGTTAAAAACTAACATAAAGTTTAATACTAATATTTTATAAAAAAGCACAGGTATAAAATTTAATAAAAGTATAAATAACAAGTTTTAATATTCAAGGGACCATTTATGTCAATTGTTTGGAATACGAATGGAAGTTGGGGGGAACCAACCAGCATTTTACAAAACTCACGATCCGGAGACGTGTAAATGGTTTTAATCTTGGAAAGGTTTTATAAAAGACCGTTGGACTTGGGAAGCCAAAAGGTTTGGGTCGGTGTATTGGCGCATAAAATATACTCTTCCTTCTTCACTTCACTCATCCCGCTCCGCTCTCCAAACACCGTCGGAGACGACTCGTCGCAACCTCTGTAACTCAGCTCACTGGAGACACAAGCACCCCCACCCGTCGTAGAACACTCACAACTCATAAGTCACAACCATGTCAGTATTCCTAAGAAGTCATCTGTAAGTTTTCATTCTTATCATTTTTCTCTTTTCTTTTTTATTTTAGTTCTCTAGGGTTTTCTTTATTTCAGATGTTGTAATCTCCTGTAGTTGCGTTTTGTTTTTCAATAAACTCTGGCTTTCTAATTGCACAAGTTGTATTGCAACTTAAAAACATAAGGAAACTACATAGTTTTGTTCATCGTCTCGTTAGGGTTTTCTCCTCTATCTTTATATTGTTTTTTTCTCTGTAAAATCTGATTTAGCGTGTCTGGTACGCTTGTTTCAGAATTTGTTCTTATGAATAACCAATTTTATCATATCAGATCAGATCACGAATGTTTTTCTCAAATCTCTTTTTGTGAATAACAAATTATGGCTAACAACAACATTGTCATCACCGGTTGTTATTAGGGTCACATAATCTGCCACGTTTATCAACACATTGAATCCCCAATGTTAATTACTTAATATTAATATACATGCAAAATGTCTAATAGGGTGATAATGAAAAGCCTTTGCATATTACTTATAGGATTCAAATTGCAAATGTTGTATGCATCAGATGTTGACAACCAAATGTTGAGGTATAAATTTATTTGTTTACTTGTTCACAACATTCATCACATGTTACAATGCTTTTTTTAATGAGGATTCACTGGTTATTGTCGATGCAGGAAACAATGAGGATTCAGACTTGTTGTTAGAGCCATCCATCACCTATACATAGAAGTAGAAACTATACACATTTGTAAGTTTTTACACACAATTTTAAGAGTTTAGATTTTACCATTTTAAAGTTATTTTTAGTTACTTTCCCCTGCAGCTTCTCAACCGGATTTTGTACCAACATGATTCCAGTTTTTCATTAAAGAATTTGTATGCAATGTATCCTTTGATCATCTATTACATGTAAGTTTTTAAATTGCATTGTTGCCCATTTAAATTACATGGATTTAATTATAATAGCAATTCTATTGATTTAAAAAAAAGTCACTAAAGGGTGTTTTCGTCATTTAACATAATTTTCACTTCAATTCTCATGATAGATTTACAAACCAAACACAAAACAAAACATGAATGGAATTGAAATCCTTTCCATTTCTTTTCAACCATACATACGACAGATTCCAATTCCTTTGATAAATTTCATTCATTTCAAAAATATTTTGAGAACCACAAATTCCCTTCCATTACTCCGAGATTAATTGCTATCCTTAATTCCAATTCCTTTTACAAATTCCATTCATTCCTCTGCAACAAGAAAAGGTTCCAGAAACCAAATACAAAACTTGTGGTTTAGAAAAGGAAAAGAAGATACCCCCAAGAATCAAAGTGTTAAGATGTATGTTTTTACCCTTAACACTATAAAACACTTGATGTTTTCAATGTTCTTATTTAGTTTTTCTTTTAATGTTTAAAGGTACACATTTAGGTCCATTGAATCTCAAATACCTTGCTTTATCAAATTACTGCCTTCAATCCACTGATTACAAGTTGACAAAGCATGGAAATGATATACAGGTAGCTATAACTATGAGTCTATGACCCTGTTTGTGTATTTCCAAAAATACCCTTCTGTTCCTGAAACTTGTGCTTATTTATTATCCTCAGGAAATGATGTGCTTATTTTCTTAGAAAGATGCAAAATATTGCATGGAAAATGCCTTCAGCACTTATTTAGTACGCCTGGTAGTTCTTTACAGTTTATATTTATTATTTAATCAAAATTTTTATTTATCTAAAAAGCGTACTTTCAATTAGCAAATTGAGACATCAGGGAAGGGAAATTCCACATGTTGTGGTCTTTGGTGGGTTGAAATGTTAAAAACAAGTGGTGAATATAAAGAGGGGGCTGGTGTTTAAGGTAATAATCAATTCTCTTTTGTGAATAAAAATATAAATATGTTAATTTTCTGAAAAACTTCAATTTTTTTTTGGAACCTCTTCGTTCAGCTGTGATGCTTGAACAAGCATCTTATTGCTGTTACCTTAGAATTTACATCATAATTTTGTGTACTAATATGATAAGCCTCAAGAACTTCTAGCTTACAGCAGGAGGGGTAGAAAGGTCAATAAGTAATAAAGCAGCATGGGAGTGTGGTGAAGTGTATGTTTTGTTGTACTGCTGTAATCGTGGGGAATTCTGCCACCTGGGTTGTGGTCCCAGTGGTCCCTTAGGAGTGTATTTAAGCTTGTTTGCAGTGTAGGACTGTTTATCGAGAATTTGTTATTGTTCTTATGACCCTTAGAGAGACTCTCACCTCTATAATTGTGAGAGAACTATCATCAATCATATGAATTCTTGAGTTTATGTGCCTTTGTGAGTTATTCTTATTTATAGCTTATCATAATACTTTATTCACTGAAATTGTATATATTTGGAAAAAAAACACATCACTAATTTGCTTCCACAATAGGTATGCATCTGAAACCTTGCTTCCGAGATTACAAGTAGATGGAGTTATTATTGGAGGAGAGTATATTGAGTAGTTTATTATTTTTTTAAGGCAGAGTGGGTACAAAACACGTTTGATTGAAACCGGTGGAGTTTTCATTTTCCATCTTAGAAATTTGGAAAACTAAAATTTTTTATTTTCTTAGAAAACTTTGGATGAACCAAATGCGTTTTTAAAATTTATGTTTTTTTTTTGGAAAAATATTTTCCACAACCAAACACACCCTTAGGGTGTTTCACTGTTTGGGTTTTATTGAATATCATGAATCCTTTGATTGCATCAAGTTCCTGATTACATATGGCCATCTGGTAAAACCTAACTGCATATCCAAAATAATATTTGTTATACTTTCCTTGATAATTATCTTTCTGTTACAAAAATTCTCTTACTAATAATATATTATTTTATCCCTTCTAATAGTAGCAGTTGACAAATTAGTCGCTTATGATGCTTTAATGCTTTTGTGCTTCACTTATTAGAGGGTATTGATTGTTTAATTGAAACCCTAAACGAATGAAAAATCTATCTGCATGTGGGATCATAACATAGTCAACCCCAACAACAAGGCTGTTGTTGCCTTAAGTTAATCCAATTCTTTAAACCTGATTGATTGCTTAGATGCCAACTACTTTGACTTTATAATTAATGTAGATTTTTTTTACTGTCTTATCATTTGAAACTTGTTTATATTTTCCGTTCTTGTATTACAACCTTTTCTTGATTTTGGAATGGAAGTAGCAATGAAGGTTGGTTTGTTTCAGGAAAGAGAAGCATTTCACATTGACTTTAGAAGTGTAGTATTATCTTGGGTTTTTTGGCACTTTTGTCTACACACCATAAGGATATCTTGTAAACAGGTCTTTTTTTTACTTATCTCCATTTTTAATTCATATTATCATTAGGATTAGTATTTATTAGAGGATTGGGGCTAAATAGTGTCTGTTTTATTTTACATGTACTTAGTTGCATTAATTATTCACATTTAGTGTAAATTAGTTACCATTATGTCATGTTTTTTTTTTTCTATAAAACTGTGAAATAAAGCTCACTTAGAAAAAATAGTTAAGTGAATGAAATATATATTCAGGTGATATTCATGCTAACACCATCTTGAAGGGATCCAAGTATAACCACTCATAGCTTTGCATCTGATCAGATCATGTTTAAAGGCCAACATATATTTTTCCTTTTTGACAATTAGAGAAGCTGGGGTCTTTGTATGAACTATGAAGCTTCATTGATTTAAATTTAGTCATAGCAATGTATTTATAGTTTTTCATCCAAAAACAACAATCTTTAACTTGAAGAAATGCTAACAGGTTATTTTTGATTTTTTATGGTGGACAAGGGTATTTCATGAACATTTTCGAATTGGCACAGTGAGATTACATAGCCTCTGATGAATTTGAGAAAACACATATGCCAAGTGCAATTTAGTTGGTCAACGTTAAGTAGTTTATTATTTTTTAAGTCGGATTGCGTACAAAACAATTACTTAATAATGTATCTACATTTTTTTAAAGATACAAATGGATGACTTATGCCAAGGCATGTATGTCACTTGTATACTAATTTCTCCTTGCATGTTGGTTTTGTACCTTTCCAAACAAAATTAAGTTCATGACAAAACAAATATTTCCTTTTGGATTACTTACTATATTTTCATTCGTGTAGGTCAACAACTTGAAGTTGTTGGATGACATGGCAGAACTGATTTCAACCTACTGAGTTACGCAATTATATAACAGAGCATATGATGGGTGGGGTATAAATGAGATATTTTATGTATTTTTCAATCATTGATACTCAGTTACGTGTGTGTGTGGTTGGTTATTGCAGTGTTATGAATGCAGTGAAGAGGCAAAAAACATTATTTAAATTAAAGGTAACATTTTTCAAAACCTTCTTCAGCACAAGAGAGGGAAGGCGCCTTTTAGATTTTGTTCCATACTTCAAAAGATATAAGTAATAACTTACTTTCATTTATTTGAGTTTTATGCATCCTACATAGTTCATCTCTTTCTATCAACTTTTTTTTACCAAGACATTGTACTTTAAAAGTTCAAAAAATTTACTAAATTATATAGCATCCTACTTTTACTATTTTCTTATTAGGACATTATACTTTTTATAGATGTTTATAGCATTGTACTTTCATCTTTTTCTTATTAGGGTATCCTGCTTTAAAAATTGAATCCAATTTTAACATTTTCTTATTGTGACATTTTACTTTGAATAACCTACCCTTTTATAGCATCGTACTTCCATTTTTTTTCTTTTTCTTATTAGGACATTTTATCTCAAAAAATTTACTTGTGTGAATGAGAAGGAGGGATGTCCTCATGGGTCATGTAGGCCCCCTAGCCCTACTTGTGGTTGGTTTTCATTATAGCATCGAACTTCCATTTCTTTCTGTTATTACATCATTGTATTTTCAACCTTTTCTTTTTCTTATAAGGGCATTACATTATGAAAACTCTATTCTATGCAGTTATAGCGTTGTACTTGTAATCTTTCTTGTTAGGATATCATAGTTTTAAAAATATATCCAATCATAGCAATGAAAATTTCTTGGTATCTTGATAACATTCCTAAATTAATGTACATTATTGTTTTTACATGTTTTTTTTTATCAACTATAGATTTCATATTCATATATACACTCTTAATGTAAACCCTCTGGCCTCTACATTTCATTACCATAGTCACATATTTTTTTGTTGTGGTAGTTAGTGGTAGAACAAGGGTACAAAATTATCTTTCAGGCAAGAATGCATCTTCTATGCTATGCTGTAGTACATGAAAGTACATTTTTTGCGTTTAAGATGTATATATAGCACACATGTTTCAGAAGTAAAGCTTGTGAATGTCCTTGAGATGAGCTATACATCCGATGATCCAATGATCAACATTCACCATCCCCTCATGCCACGAGGGTGTGTGTTCCAAGGCGGCTGCTACAAAGATGAAGTGCAAATATTTGTATGATGATGATATGATACTTACTCTCTTCTCTTCTGCTTTTGGTATGCATTGTTTAGGTCCAATCCAAAAGGGAGTCTTTTTGCAGTTTTGGTCCTTATTTCATGATTTCTCAACCGCTTTTGGTACCCGGGTCATCACCTAGATGTTAAATTTATGAAAATGACGATTTTGTCCCTGTCATCTTCGTCTCTTTCTATTCCATTTTCAAGGTGCATAATGAAATTTCAACAAAATTTCTCTCTTTCCTTAAAAACTATTGTCATATATGTTGAAGGAGCATAACTGAACACTAAATCCTTAAATATAAAATCTTTTTGAAAATATGGTTAGAAAGTGTTGTCATATATGTTGAAAGAGCATAACTAAACCCTAAATCTTTAAAAAATAGTTTTTTTTTTTTGAAAATATGGTACTCATTTCATTGTTTGATAATAATGTGTTTGGTCTCTTGTTCTCAACCTTAGCAGCCCATATGTTAAATTTATTATAAAGACCATTTTGCCAATGTCTTCATCTCTTCCATTTCCGTGTTTAAGGAGCATAACTATGTCCTAATAATCCCAGAAAAGATTCTCCAAAAAAGAATATTTTTTGAAATTTTGGTACTCATTTCATGGGTCGTCAACTTTAGCAACACAGGTATTAAATATTTCAACATGAATCATTTTTCCTTTGTGTTCTTCATCTATCTCATTTCCATAATTAACACCCCCAAAAAAATCATCTCTTTCCATAAAAAAAAAAGTTGCATCTGATATCTGATATGCTTAAAAATTATTCTTGTTTTTGTTTCAGATCCTCAGAAGGAGACACGAATGCATTTCATGTGAACAACTTTCAAGATCCTCTTCAAAGAACTTTGTCTTCATTGGAGCTTCCAACAAACATCTCTCTCTTTCAAATGGAACACCTTCATCTTCATTCAGAGGCTCTCCCTTTGATAACAATCAGAAGATACTTGATACAGTTACTACTCCAGAAGACAATCATTCGGGCAGCAGGCAGAGGCCTTGTAGATGGTCAAAGTCAAAGTCAAGGAGGAGAAATTATTGGGCTTCCAAAGACCACCAAATAGTTCCCAAAGAGTCCCTGAGTACCCTCTGACCCTCTTGAGGTAATTTATATCAGAAAATAAATTAACAAAAACTACTTTTTTACCAAAAATAATTAGGCTTTGTCTCGTATAATTGTCATGAAAAAGTTACTATTTTTCATCTTTTTTTGGCAACTTGCTAAATTATGAAAGCCACAGCAGCATCCATTTGGGGTTGAAGAGGTAACACACATTTGTTTTTATTTTTTTTTATTTTTTTACACGGTAAATATCAAGAAATAGCAACATACTTCATTCTTTTTACCAATGTACACAATATATACTTTATATTTTACTTATGGTAGTTATGTGTAACCCATAATAACAACATACTTGCATCGTACTTACAAAATTCCTTTCTTGTTTCTCTTTCATTGATTTGGATATTACTAACAAAATAACTCGGGTCAAAATCTTGGATAAGTCATTTGGTTTGAATGTGTTAGGCTTTTTAACATATCCTAGTTTGTTGGTTTCTTTATGAGGAGGTTATATCATGTATTGACTATCTATTAACTTTTTTTTTAAATCTTCTTGTAATATTGGTTGATTAGCAACAACACTGTCATCACGGGTTATTATTAGGGTCATATAATCTGCCACATTTTATTTTATATTAATTTGTGAAGATTGTAAAAGCTTCCATACCTCTCTTAATTTATGTATTTCAATTACTAATTTGTGGTTATTTCACAGCAGTCAAGAGCAACTAGAAATCTGGAGAAAAAGCTAAATGACTATATACGATGCCAAAGTAAATAACTAAACCGTATTTTGCTGATTATTAATATATGACATGCCACATAATTTTTTATATTTTGGCAATTTTCGTCCCTTATTAGCCACTTTTTAAAATTTGCACCTGCTGATCTATAACCCTTCTCACATAATCCTTTTTGGAGAAAATAAATATTCTCCTACCTTTTTTTCCTACATATCTTCCTACCCATATGAAATGACAATATTTTGATAAAATTAATTATATTTTTGAGCACTTGTCATTATTTCAAATGGGTAGGAAGATAATTGTCTTTTTATGCTGCCATCTATCACAATTCACAGTAAAAAAAAAGTCCCAAAATTATTTTTTTATTCCTATTTTGGTTGTGTATTTCGATTTTGATTGCTCTTTGTATAAATTGGAACAGACGACTTCTAAAAGACCAATACATCAATTGTAGTCTTTCCTTGTGATTCCTTTTTATTATTTAGTTTTGATGCCCTTTGCCTATTTCCATTTGGTTTTCTGATTACTTATCCCTCCCTACCAGGGGAATCTTTAATCGAATGGACTTTTACATTCTTTCATTCGTCATATCCACTCAAAGTTTTCAAGAATTTGGTGAAGCAGCTAAGAGTTTTACACTCAAAATTTTTACCACCTTTTATACAATTTTGAATATCGATTAAACTTTTTAGATGTGATTGTAGACATGGAGGTCTTTGCTGCATTCCAATGAGTCGGAAAGCTTTGACACGACAAGTCACAGCCACTTCATCAGTAAAATACTATTTTTAATGCATTTTATTGGATATCTTTTTCTACAGTTTATATGACTTTCAACCATGAGTCCAAGTTTGTGCAATTTATGGGAATAATTATCAGTTGCATGTATCTCTTCTCCCTTTACCTGTGTTATATTCTCATCTACTTAGAAAAGGATTATTAATAAATACCCTTGTATGTTGATCTTTTTTTTTTAATGATTACAGAATGTCCATTCACCAGCTCGGCCTCATATGATGTTTTGGATTCACAGGCGTATTAGCTCAAGGTAAGCATAGACAAATAAAGCAGACCATGTGGTTTCTGACTGCAAAAATTTGGGTTTTTGAATCAATAGCTCCATTTTTTAAACAGTTATGAACTTCTTCGTATAATAAATCAAATATAAACTGAGTTTATGCCATTCCCAAATTCTAAATATGTTATGATGCTTGGTTAGGTTACATTGATATGAAAATCGTATTTTAGTCTTTGCTTCTGACTCCTTTTTATTATTTGATTTTTATGCCCTTTGCCAATTTCCATTTGGTTTTGTGATTACTTAGCCCAATTTGATATGAGAATCCTATTTTAGTCTTTGCTTCCAATTTGTCATCTATAGCATGTCCTAACAATTTCCTTTGTTATGATTCCTTATCCCATCTAAACCTGATTGCATTTCAGTAATATTGTTTTTCAAGAAAATAACCTATGGTGTTTTACAATAATTTTTTCGTTTTTCATGTTTTTTTTTACCCTTTTTGCTTAAATTATTCACCTTCTTCAATCTTTATAGTGTTTAACAGTAACGCTGGGAGCATATGGGAAGCAAAATGGAGTTGGTTTTTCTGCAATCAAAAAGGTTTTTATATTCGACTCCAAACAATGATTGTAAAATCTTAATAATTTTGTTCGTGTATGTTACTTCATAATTTTCCTAATTCATAAAAACCACATTTACCCACAAGTCAATACATGTTCTTTTTTGCTTGCCAAATTTCTCTTTCAAAACTAACCTATTCAGACATTCTACTTTGGTTATCTAAACTTGTTTGATTTAGGCTACAAATCATACCATTGTAGTTCATTTTTTTACAACTATTTTTCTTATTAAGTTATTGTACTTTCAACTGTTTTTTCTATTAAGACATTACACATTTAACTATTTTCATTCTAAGACATTGCATTTTAAAAAACCAACCTAGTAAGACTTGTATTTTTCAAATCTAAACTTGTTTGTACTGTTAACATTTATAGTATTTTATATTCAAAATTTTAAACATGTACAGTTAACTTTTTTTCTTATTAAGACAATGCACTTTGAAAACATTCCACCTTTCAACTTTTTTCTTAGCAAGAATTTACACTTTGAAACTCTAACATACTTGGACATTATACTTTGAAAATTGAAACAGTTATAACATAATACTTAATAATACCAACCTGTTAAAATATTTTCTCATATGTTTGATTTTGGTCCGTACTTGTAAAATTGTACTTTCAATTTTCTTTTCTGTTATTTTTTTTTTTTTTCATATTAAGTCAACGTACTTGGAAAATCTAAGCATTTATAGCATTATTATTTCAATTGTGGCATTATAGTCTCAATATAAAGACATTGCATTTTAAAAGTTTAACTTTGCTTTATCAAATTATTGCCTTCAATCCATTGATTACAAGCAGACAAAGCATGGAAACAATATACAGTTGTAGCTATGATGAGTCTACGACCATGTTTGTGTATTTCCAGAAATACCCCTCTGTTTCTAAAACTTTTGGTTATTTATAATCTTTAGGAAAGGATGTGCTTATTCTCTTAAAAAGATTCTGAATATTGCATGGGAAATGCTATCAGCACTTATTTAGTATGCCTGGTAATTATTTACATTTTATATATGTTATTTAGTCAAGTTTTTTTTATTTATCTGAAAAGTTTACTTTCTTTTGGCAATTTGAAACATCAGGGAACGGAAATGCCACATGGTGTGGTATTTGGTGGGTTAAAGTGTTAGAAACAATTGGTCAATATAAAGAGGGTGCTGGTGTTTACTTTTGTATCTCATACGAGGTAATATAATCAATTCTATTTTGTGAATAAAAATATAAATTTGGCATGTCAAATCTAGGATTCAATGCGAGTATGTAGTCTGCTTTCTAAAAACTCTGGATGAAATTAGTTTAATAGGAGAAGATTTTCAAATAAGACATGAGTACTTGATACATATGTTTCACACATGGGGTTAATTTTGGGGATTATGTTTTCAAGGATACTCAGGAAGTTTATAATTTTAAACCAATGGTACAAATTAAAAACTTTTTGGACTTCATTACACTTTTTTCTAACGGACCAAATTTGCAGTTTAGTACTCATTTTACAAAACTCACGATCCAGAGACGTGTAAATGGTTTTAATCTTGGAAAGGTTTTATAAAAGATCGTTGAAATTGGGAAGCCAAAAGGTTTGGGTCGGTGTATTGGCGCATAAAATATACTCTTCCTTCTTCACTTCACTCATCCCGCTCCGCTCTCCAAACACCGTCGGAGACGACTCGTCGCAACCTCTGTAACTCAGCTCACTGGAGACACAAGCACCCCCACCCGTCGTAGGACACTCACAACTCATAAGTCACAACCATGTCAGTATTCCTAAGAAGTCATCTGTAAGTTTTCGTTCTCATCATTTTTCTCTTTTCCCTTTTATTTTAGTTCTCTAGGGTTTTCTTTATTTCAGATGTTGTAATCTCCTGTAGTTGCGTTTTGTTTTTCAATAAACTCTGGCTTTCTAATTGCACAAGTTGTATTGCAACTTAAAAACATAAGGAAACTACATAGTTTTGTTCATCGTCTCGTTAGGGTTTTCTCCTCTATCTTTATATTGTTTTTTTCTCTGTAAAATCTGATTTAGCGTGTCTGGTACGTTTGTTTCAGAATGTGTTTTTATGAATAACTAATCTTATCACATCAGATCACGAATGTCTTATTCATCTCTTTTTGTGAATACCCAATTCTGGCTAACAACAACATTGTCGTCACGAGTTATTTATTATAAGGGTCACATAATCTGCCACATTTATCAACACATAGATTGATTCCTCATGTTACATAATTTTCTGAAGATTAAGAAACCAAACTGTACTTTGTTAATTACTTAATATTAATATTAATATACATGCAAAATGTCTAATAGGGTAATAATGAATTTGTATGCAATGTATCATCCTTTGCAGACCATGAAGCCTTTGATCATCTATTACATGTAAGTTTTTAAAGTGCATTGTTGCTCATTCTCCCATTTAAATTACATGGCTTTAATTACAATGAATGTGCACAGACCATTTGGTTGTTTTTTTTTTCAAAAGAAACAGATCCTATCAACAAGTTTGTGGATCTTTTTAACATGAATCAGTTACCCCTGCTTCTGATCATGATCCAAATCCATGGGAATTGAATGTTAGTGCATTTCATGTGATACAATTTGTTTCCATCTTTTTCATAAAGTGAAACTTGAATGACATGGATTTTTTTTGACAGATGTCTAATGCTTCTTCTGGTTAGCATCTTGGCTTTTTGCTCAGCAAAGTGGATGTGGGTGAGATTCTTTCTGAAAAAAAAAAGCAATTTTATTTAAGGCTGTATAATAGAGTAACTATCCGTAAATATAAACTTTTTAACTTTTCTCATTCAGCATGTTGGTTTTCTTTCCTACCTTTTCTATTGTTCATGGGTTCCATAGAAATTTGAAGGAATTGGAATGGAAGATTCCTTAAGTTACACGTTTGGTTGACAAAATGGATGAAGTTGGATTCCATTAAACTCCCCCAAAATTTGTATTCAATGGATTTATCATTCCTAGGGAAGAATTGGAATTCCTTTGTTTATTTCTTCATTAAAATATGACAAAATTTGTCCTTACACCCCAAATATTGTTTTTCGAATCTTGCACCTGCTTCTTTATTCTCACCTATAATTTATCTTAATATACAACTCTATTAATCTATATATTTATAATCGATTGTTATATTATTAATTAGTTATTTGTCTTCCTTTTTAATGGCATATTACTTTTTCTTTTAATGTTTATGAAATTAGAGTATGTGGTGTTTGATGTTTATATAACTAGTGTTTACTGGCTGTCTTATGAGTAAAATCTTTTCCAGTAAATATCTATCATTTTATAAAAAAAAAAAGTCACTAAAGGGTGTTATGGTCATTTAACATAATTTTCACTTCAATTCTTTTGAAAAATTTGCAAACGAATTTTTTTGCAGGAACCTCTTCGTTCAGCTGTGATGCTTGAACAAGCATCTTATTGATGTTACCTTTTAGCCAAACCAATTATATTAAGAGAATATAGATTTCATCTCATGATGTATACAACAAATGGGATCAGGCATTACAATTTTTGTTAATATTTTAATAGATAATTTTCTTTAATATTTATTCATAAGAGCAATGTATTTGTAGCTTTTCATCCGAAAACAACAATCTTTAACTTGAAGAAACACTAATAGTTTTTTTTCTCTTATTATTATCTTTTTAGTGGACAACAAAGGTATTTCAACTTTCAAGTGAACACATCATATGGCAAGTGCAATTGTGTATGCTCATGTTATATGTATGTGTGGGAGAATATGGATTTCATCTCATGTTATATGTATTTAACAAAATAAAAGACAACTTACTTTTTTGTTAATGGTTTCCTTCCCTTATCTCCTGATGTCATGGATTTTCTTAAAGTGTAAGTAATTTTTAGGGCTAAAACTCAATATATAACAACTTGCTTTCATTCATTTGTGTTTTATTTCAGCATTCTAGTTTCCTTTCTTTCTATTACTATATTCTAGTTTCAACTTATTCATATTAAGACAAAGATGAAGTGCAAATATATTTGTATGATGATGATATATTCCTTACTCTCTTCTGCTTTGGGCATGCATTTGAGACACACATTGCAATTTTATATCCCACCCAAAAAGGTGGAAGGTGGGATAGGGAGGGATCCGTCTGAACAAACGACGAAAATGACCTTCACATATCCTCATCATGTAAAAGTTTCTCGTCTGAATTTTGAGTTGGTTTACTTATGATTATTAACATTTATAAGATTTTGGCAGGAGAAAGAAAGAAATTGCACTTTCATTGATTTTCATTTTACAAGCAAAATAACTCTGGTCAAAATCTTGGATTCATATACATGCAAAATGCCTAATATGGTAATAATAATTGTCTCATAAGTTTGTATGTTCTAGTTGAATGTAATTTTGATGCTAAGCTATAAAACCTTTTATTAAAACATTATACTTTCATAATCTAACCTATGAAAAACTAAAAATGTTTGGTTTTGGATACCAATTATAGCATTATAACTTTAAAGTTTTTATTATTAGCTTGCTTTATCAAATTACCACCTTCTATCTATCCACTGATTACATGCTGATAAAGCATGGAAGCGATATGCAGGTAGCTATGAGTCTATGACCCATGTTTGTGTATTTCCAGAAGTACCCCTCCCCTTATTTCCTAAAACTTGTGATTATTTATTTATTACTTCAAGAAATGGTGTGGTCTTTGGTAGATTGAAACATTAAGAACAGGTGGTTGATAGATATAAAGAGGTAATAATCAATTCTCTTTTGTGAATAAAAATATTATATACGGGAATTATGTAAAAAAAACTTCCTTTTTTTGCAGGATCCTCTTCATTCGGCTATGATGCTTGAACAAGCATTTTATTATTGTTACTTTTTAGCCAAACCAATTACATTAAGTATGGATTTCATTTTTAAAATCAAACATATTAAGACATTGTTTTAATTTCTTTTTTCTAGTAAGACAAGGTAATTCTAATTTTTTTTTTTTTTGAAAATCTAACTACTTATAATATTATACTTTCAAAATCCAACCTATTAAGAAGTTGTATATTTCTCCTGTTAATCTGGAGGCTAAACTTGATTAGCATTTTACCTTCACTTTTTTTCTATGAAGATTGTACTTTCAGTTTTAACATTTCGAAATCCAACATATTAACACACACTTAACACAATGTATCTTTTATTTTTCTTTCTATTATGACTTTTTATTTTGAATGTTAACCTTTTAATGATATTATACTTCTAAAATCTAAATTTGTTTTGCCCTGTTTCAAAGGTTTATTTTAGATTCTTGCACATGTTTTGTAAATTTTTGGTTTTGATTTTTTGTCATGTTGAAAATATTTTGGTTTTGATTTTTTTTAATGATATTATACATACATGTTCATATCAGTTTATCTTTCTAATGTTGTGATTTGTTAATTGTGCTGACACCTGAGATTGAGATTCTTCATTTGTCAAACCATATTAAGGAGAAGCTTAAACAAGTTGGTTGATCAAATGGTAATGTCTTTTGGTAGCAATATTTAACAATTTTAAACAGTCCAAAATGCAACTTTATAATACTAACTAGACACTGGTACAATCCTTTTGCCATAAAATATTACATATATTAAAATGGAACAAAATCCATTTTATTCCAATGGAAAGAAAATAAGAATTCTATCATTTTGTTTATTTGTTATTAACATCTATGAGGTTTTCATGTTTTGCATTTGTGTATTCTACAAGACAAAATATATTTATGATTTTTTAAATTGTGATCTACTAATTTCAGGTCTAGCATTCCCTACTCTTTACATCTATACTGGAGTCTGAGTTTCTTTCTGTGTTGTTATTTTCAAGTTGGTGGTTTAGGTCCAAAAGGGAATTTTTTTTTTTGCACTTTTGGTCCTTAGTTCATAGTTTTTCAACCGCTTTTATGAAAATGACCATTTTGTCCCTATCTTTTTCATTTCCATTTTCAAGGAGCATGATGAAATAAATTTCAACAAAATTTCTCTCTATTCCTTAGAAACCTATATGTTGAAGCTAAATCTTTAAAAGTAGAATCTTTTTGAAAATATGGTGTTCTTCATCTCATCCCATTTCCATGTTCAAGGAGCATAAGTTACCCCCAACAAAATTTATCACTGTTCTTAAAATTTATCTATCAGTGTCATACATTTAAGGAGCATAATAATCTCTGAAAAGATTCTCTAAAAAAAGAATATTTTTCGAAATTTTGGTACTCATTTCATGGAACGTTTTCAGCTCTAACAACACATATATTAAATATTTCAACATGAACCATTTTGCCCTTGTCTTGTTCACATCTTTCCTTAAAAATTATTGTTGTTTTAATTTGTTGAAGACACAAATGTATTTCCTGTGAATAACTTTGAAGATCCTTTTCAAAAGAAGTTTGTCTACATTGGAGCTTCCAAGATCCCTCTCTTGCAAATGGAACACCTTCATCTTCATTCAGAGGATACTTGATACAGTTACTACTTCATAAGATAAATCATTTGGGCAGCGGGCAGCAAAAAAACTCACGACCCTGCCCGGGATCAAGTTTTAGAAAAAATCTTTCGGTCTGGTCTGCCCGGGAAACAACCTCCCAAAACTCTTCTGTGACCAATCTTGCCTTGTAGATGGTCAAAGTCAAAGTCAAGGTCAAAATGAAATGCCCGCCCCCATAGTGCATTAATTCAAATCAGAAAATAAGTTAAGAAAGCTACTTTTAGGCTTTGTCTCATATGATTTTTCATCTATTTTTGGCAACTTGCTAAATTATCACTAGTAGCCACAACAGCATCCTTTTGGATATGTAATCCCACCGACTCCATCGCCATTCCCTATAGATCTACTGCTTCATACAACTTCTTTTTCTTGTATATGTTCCACCTTACAGTCGATTTTGCTCTCCATAGGTGAGTATTTTACCGGCGATTTCGGTAGTCTTCCTCGGTTATTTCTCTATCTTTTGACCAAGAAATCAAGTTTAGCTGATTTTTCCCAATTTCTTTTAGGATTGCTTCAATCGATTTAGAAGAGGTCACAACAGGTGGAGATCAAATACGGTCTAAACCTAAATCGGGAAAGATGGCGGCGCTTGACAGTTTTTGAGGTTGTATTCGGGTTTCAATGCGACCGAGGTTTTCACTTTCTGGCCAACACGCCTCAATGGCTCCGGCGACGACAGCACACAGTTTCTCCATCAGGTAAATTTTAATTTTTGCTAGATTCTCTTCCAAACATCTTCTTCTTTGTGATTTTAATTCCTCAATTTGATCGTTTTATCCTTCTGATTTACTCTTTCTTTGATTTTGATTTCTTGTTTCTTCTATTATTACTATTGGATATTTTTAAGGATTCATTTTGGTCGAAGTTTCGTATTTTGTTAATAATCAAATTAGTATCAGTCGATATCTTTATGTGCAGGTTCCTAATCATCAATTTATGAAATTGAAGAAGGCAACTAGGTTAGAAGATTATCTACTGCGAAACTATGTCTCCAAATTAGAGATTGGAGTCACTGATGAAGACAACTATTACCAATTTGTTTTTATATATTTTAATCAACTTGACAATTAATTTGGGTATCATGAACTATTTTCAGTTGGTAAGTGAAGCACATATTTCATTATGTTTTAGGGTAAATGTAACTGTAGCCTAACAAAGTTTTAGTTTAAAAGGTCCCTCATCTTTTTTTTTTTGCTTTCTAAGGGCATCAACTTGTATTTTACCGGCCAATTTGGGTAAACAACCCATTATAACCGGTTAGATCTGCCAAATAGGTTAGAAAATGATGACATGTAGCCTCGTCAGCAATACTTGGAGCCTAGTAGACTTCTGCCTCGTCACCAACTTTGGGGATTAATATAAGCACTCCTTGCCCGATTGAGCTCCTCACAACCACCCCTCAATTGTTGTTCAATTTCCGATGAACCTTCCGTCCCTTCCTATGTTGCAGTCGATCGGACCAGAAGAAGAAGGAATTCACCAGAGCAGCCCTGGAGTGCCGGCGCCCCTCCTCATGACCTCCCAGCCATCGCCGAAGATTGACGCCCTCCCTTTCTCGCCATCACCAGCCAACGTCAGAGTTCCCTAGTGATTTCGACTGTACATTCGTTACCTAATCGTTGAAGATGGAAACGAACTGCAATCGCCTACTACTTCCGTCTTCCTTCCTCGACCGGTGCTCGCTGATCAGCCACAAACAATCACCCTATCGTTTCCTGTTTCCGTCCGCATCAATTTCCCTTCCCGATCTAATTAAGACGAAGGCCCCCCATTTTGTATATATTAGTGATCTAATGAAGACGATTATTCAATCTGATACTTAATCAAATTGGTGGTGAACAAAGGAAAATGAGGGTGTTGATTGGTTTATCGGTAACAATTATTCAATTGAGACACGCACACACATACACACACACACCGTCGTCGATCAAATTTGATGTTCATGATTAGGTTACTCTGTCAACAACAAAGAAGATGAAGAACAGAGTGAAGAATGTTGATTGAAATCGGAAGAGACACCGCTGCTATCTTTTTGTAATTTAAACCTCCGATTTGTTGTGATGTAATTCATACAAAATGAGAAGCAGATGGAGTCTTCGTCGATTTCATGGCCACCGCTATTGAATTTAGGGTTATTTTGTAAGTCATGTACCGTGTCAATTGAGGGAAGACTTTACCTGCTGACTAGGAAAGGGTTCACTGGATGACCCCTTCATTTTTTTCAAAAGAACCTTTTAAATCTTAAAAACATGAATTCGTACCTTTAGAAAGCAAAAAAATAAGATGGGGGACCTTTTAAACCAAAACACGTAAGTTTGTTGGGTTACAGTGACATTTATCCTAATTTTTAAAACTTGGAGAGAATCAATTTGTTTGTACCATTGTTGATGTCTCTTACATTCTTTTGTGCATCTTAAACTCTGTATTTTCATTTTCAGTAGAATTAGGTTATTAATCATATAATCAAATTTGGATATAAGGTAGTGAATTTAATATTCATTACAAATTATTATTTCAGTTAGTGTGGATTCTCCTTCCTTATATGATCACTGAGGGTGCGTGCGGTTGACAAGAAAAGAATGAAATTCCAAAGAAAAAGGATTCCAATTCTATCGAATTCATGCGTTTGGGGTTAGGGATGTCAACGGGGCAAACGGGACGGGGAGTGCATCCTCTGCCCCCGCCCCCAAAATGTTCAGCCTTCCTACCCCTGCCCCTGCCCCCGACCCTGAATCCCCTTTATTACCCCCACCCTCGCCCCCGTTCCCTCGCCCCCGATAGATTTTGGGTTGCCTTTTTTTTGCTAAAAGAAGTTGTTATTTAGGCTAAAAGAATCTATTTTTTAAGTAACAAATAATTATTTATAACAATTTTATATGATAAAAATAAAAAGGTTATGATGTCTTAAAAACATTATACTAACAACTTAAAAACATATTTTTGATGAGTTTTGAAAGCTCGAAATCATGCTATTGTTTATTAACAGGGTTCCCATGGGGGTTTGGGATGGGATTGCCTACCCCCGCCCCGGCCCCCGAAATTAAAACGGGGTTAACCTAGCCCCCGCCCCGTCCCCACCCCGATATTTTTTAAATTTTTTTCCCAAACGGGACGGGACCTTTTGACATCCCTATTTGGGGTTGGACTTAAAAGGGGGAAAAGGAATCCTAAATGAAATAAACTTTCCACCATATGGAGGAAAGTGAATTCTTTCTAAAGTTGGATGGAAAACATTCATTCTCATCACCGCCATTACCACCGTCGCCGCCACCACCCACCACCACTCTTGTCGCCACTATCACTACTACCGTTGCTACCACCACCCACCACTACCACTACCATCACCCACCAATGTTGCCACCACTATCAACGCCACCACAATCAATGTTACCACCACCACCACCCACCATTGTCGCCTCCACCACCCTCACCACCAGTGAAATTTTATTGTTTTTATAATTTATATAACGTATCTTTACATATAAGTTAGAAATTAATATGTAAGCAGAAATTATATAAATTTTAATAAGTTCAATTTTCAAAGTATAATTAATATTAGATTGGGATATAAACTAAAAGTAACTTCTTAATAGGTTAGATTTGTGAAAGTACAAAGTTTTAATACATAAAAAAAAAAAAAAGTGTAAAGCGATACTTTCATTGTGTTTATGGTTAGAAGGTATATAGATATAACTGAAGAATATTACTAGAGCTACATAGATTTTAGAAGTTTTAAGTTTAATGCCATATTTGGTTAGATTTATGAAATTACAAAGTTCTATTGCGAAAATTGGTTGGATTTTCAAAATACGATGTATTAAAAGGAGAAAATATGACAATACAGTGACTTAAATATGTTACATTTTCAAAGGACAAGGTCTTCTTAAGAAAAAACACGTGAAAGTAAAATGTTGGATTTCAAAAATATAATACTATAAAGTATAATGTTATAGATGGTTAGATCATCAACATACAATAACTTAAAAACTTGAACTATAAGATCTATATTTGATAACCTAAATCAGACAAGTTTAGATATCCAAAGTATATATCATGTGTGGGCGTTGGCGTTGATTCAATTTTTTTTGTTCTTTCTTCGATAAATAATTAAGTAACTGAAATACATAAATAAATTATTGTCCGGAAATAATTATATAAGATTGCAGTGTCGAAACTTAAAAACACTCACTCGCATTGCATTTTTCTTCTTGCTGCAAGACATCCCACCAACCTCGTATCTATAACAAAAAAAAAGTTAAAAATCATTTCTTATATATAATTGTATTTGATGATAAGAAAATCAAGATCACCGTGTCATTATCGTGAGTTCCAGTATATACAACTTGATTTTGCTCATGATTGTGAGACAGATGAGGGTTTGCTGAATCACTTCCGAAACCTATTTGTAAAAAAAATATATTAATGAATATTTTATAAATATAAATTACGGAAATAAGTGAATAAGTAAAAAAATTTAGTACCAAACTGAAGAACCATCCCTAGTGCACAAATGGATTTTCTGAGCTGGACTACATCCTCTGTTATAACAATTGTCATTCCCAAAAATATTTAACTTTAAAAATGTGACTTTTCTTATAAGTTTTTTTTAAGCGTAAATGATTCAAAGAAATAAACATAAACTACTTCCGCTGACATCAAGTCTTAGGATCCGCTTATCTCAGTTGAATTCACCCCATATCAATTGAGCCGTCAACATAACATATCTCCAGTCTTGTAAATCACCACATACACCTAAAAGTCAAAATAATAATAATAATAAATTAATAAGCGCAACTAATTTCAATAATCGAGACCCACCTAATTACTTAACTTTTATAACACCACGTCCTTCATTTTTTAGGCTTTTACTTTGGAATCTTTTATTAAAAAAAAATCAAATAGAAGGTAGCATCTAAATCTTGTCACACATAATGACAAAACTAAGCCACATTAGCTATCAGGAATGATATGCTTACCCAAAAGAAGGCAAAATATAAGCAGTAGTTGCCTCACACATGAGTAGAGTATAAGCAAATTGGAAGAGTTGAAACAGGACATGATAATGATGAAAGTCCATGCAAAAAATGCATCATTATCTGAGAACTTTTGATCTTAAAAACAATGAAAAGAAAAGATGAAACTTCTAGGGCAGATTAGTAATCAGGTTTATGTTGGATTAAATGCAAGAAATAACAATATGCTTTTTACTTGAAGCATATTACTTCAATGTCGGGCACTTTCTCTTCTGGTCCAGGGGCAACCCAACTTGAAAATGAACTGTCAAATCTCATTGAATCCGTCACTTAATATTTGTAACACATATAAAAAATAAATACTGCCCCATGTTGGAAGTAAAACTCTTCCATTTAAAATTTTCATTAATAATCCAAATTCAAAATAATTAAAATAAAGGAGTTGGGTTTAATTTGCTTACACGAAAACAGGTGAATACGAGATTGGATCTTGTTGATGTTGTCATCTGCCAAAGATGTTTACTTGAAAGCATTTTAACAGTAAAAAAAATTGAATTTTAAATCAATGAAAGGCAATAAACATCCAATGGAAAATCAGTAAGAATTTCATATAACTCAACTGTTTAACAT